AAGATGATTGTCTTCTGGGCTGTACCGTCTTGTAGTCTGATCTACAAACCAGAAGACAGCCATCTTCGTGGGAACCTCAAATCCTACTTAACCTCACATTCTTAACTTTCCTGACCTTAGTATGTACAAAACATCCCATTTCAATTAACATAAAACATATTCCTGAAAAGCATTTATAATCCACCTCAATACTACGCTATAATCCATTTTTAAACAAAGAGTTCTATCACAAAAAAAAATGAAAACTAACGGTCGATATAATGATACGTAAATTCTCGTTTCCGGTAAGGTATGCCCGTGTTGAGATGAAGTTCCTGTCAAACAGTCGGTATAAAGTTGATGCCCAAAATGCCCAACGGCAAATTTTTGCATACGTCGAGTCTTTTGGGCAGAATCTGAGATTATTAAAAAAAATTATATAATTGACCTGAAGTCTGAAGGTTTCTAGCGATGGTGCGTTACAATCTATAAAATTAAATTCTTTGACTTCGCCCATCGTCTACAAATTAAAATAAAATCACAACGTTTCGGAAGCGGGATCTTATTCAATCTTCAGGTAGAAAAAAATGATAAGGGCAGAAACCCTATCTGTTGGACCCCTTCTTAAACTAGTCTCACACTTAAGGCTTTTTACTTGAAGATGAAATAAGATAGTGTAGTTGCGTCATATTGTGACTTATTGAATTAATTTCCTTATAATATTATTTATTTATTTAATTGTTTTCTATATTCATCCATATTCATTAATGTTTCTTTGAATCATTTACTTCACAGACCGATGTAAACATCAAAAGCATCACTTCAAACATTATATGAAAATATCTGGACACGACCTCCAAAAAACTACACTACGAAAAATTGTAAAAAATTGTAATTGAGTTTTAAATTTAATATAATTTTACACCTGATGATGGTTTAATAAAACCGAAACATGTTGTAACTGTTCCAATTGTAAATCGATTATTCGATATGGAACACAGAATGATATTTTAATTATTTTAATTATCTTATTTTAAATACGTTGTGATTTGACGGAATAACCAAATAATTTAATTTTACTTGAAGATGAAAGAAAATCCAGCTTCCGAGACGTTGCAATTTTATTTTAATTTATAGACGATACAGAAGCTCAACAAAACACTTTTACACATAATCGGCATGTCTAAACAAAACTCTAACGATAGCCTTTTAGTACCCCTCTGGAATGAAATGGATGATAGTGTCTTCTCTGATAACACTGTAATCAACCGAGAACAAAATAGAGGATAAACAGGATTCGGGTCACCCACAAAATGTTATCAAACTGGTCGCGGAGGGCAGAGTAATAAACAAGCGGTGTCAGTCGATAAAAAAGTGCACAGCATGTTATTTATGATCGCACACAATTTTACAAAATTATTGTACATATTTACGATCCAAAATTAACGTTTTAAATGCCCCCTCTCGCAATTCAAACAAGTAATAGAACAGAAATTTTGTATCTTTGCAAAAATAAGCAGTTTGAATTTTCATTAACGACGAACTGCACACCATGCATTCAAGAATATATTAATGTGGGCCGAGTCCTCTAAAAACGAACCTCGTCTAAAATATCATTTAAAAACTGAATCCGTACCTCAAAGAAAACAGAACTCTTCATCATTACATAGATCAATTTGTTAATGATGTTTAGGGAAATAATCCCTGTTTACAACGAGAATCATACATTACCCATAATACACTTTTGATGAACCACAGTGGCTAATATTTAAGCTATGTATTTTATTAATGTCCTGTTCAATGAATTTCCTCTCTGTCTAGACTCGTAGAAAACTTTCATTTTCATGGAAGCCAACGCGATAGTCATGCACTTGGTTCTTACATAATTCAACCTGCGTCCAGTCACGTAGCCAACATTTACTTTTAAGTAACAACACAACGCGCGCTACAATCAAAACAGCGGAAATGAAGTAGCTTCTCATCGGATTTCCCCATTTCAACTACCAATAGCCTTTTCATATTAATCAACAGAATACCAACGAGACACTGAATTGTCTTTTTTTTTTGTGATTTGTTGAGAGCAAATACAGCGTCCATGGACTTTCTTTCCTTCCTGAAACCGCAGAAAGTCAGACGAATGAGTCACCAGTGGTCTAGCCGTTACATCACGAGCAGAAGTTCTGAACTCACAGTCCGTCTAGAAGGTTCTCACGGCGGTGAGTACGAAGATGGCTGTCTTATGGGTTGTAGTGGCGCGTGTTATGGTAGACGTTAATCAACGTATCAGAGGTACTTTCTGCCTCCATCAACAGGGTGATCTATCAGAGGTACTTTCTGCCTCCATCAACAGGGTGATCTATCAGAATACACGGCGTCACAACCCAGAAGACAGCCATTTACGGATTACATAGCAGGAGAACACACACAAATCTAGCTCCAAAACATTTAGAACACAAAAAACTTTTCCCTTTTCTAAAAAAAAAAGTCTATAAAGTTGTCATCCGGGAACTTGAACTACAGTGGGTCGAGAATTGCAAGGTAGTCTACTGAATCAACCGTTTCCAAAATAAGCAGAGTTTATCTTCATCGGTACTCTGTAGATTATACTTCGTATTTCTACCCATACGACTAAGGAATAACAAGTTTTCGTTACTCTTAAATTGGTGGTATGTGAAAAAGAAGAAATTCAGTAAACAAGATACTTCTTCCAAATAATTCATCACGGAGGATAAAATATAATAAATAATGACGGGAAACAAACGCATTCAGACTACCCAATACGCGACTGGAGTGCAGAGAAATGCAATTATTTGTCCACATAAACCACCATCACGAAATAATTAGAAACAAAACACCGATTTGCATTCGAAAATTGAATTACATTTTCAACATTCTGCATACGTGGATAAAGAATTGATAATTAATAACATTCAATTCCAAGGACTGGGAACGGAGCCGACAAGGTGTATACACATATTTCGTTACTCAATACAGTAGAATTGTGAATGTAAGTGAAAGGGAGACCATATTAAGTACCTCGCGACATAGTTTCGAGTCGGAAGATGTTTGCTCCTCGGTCTTACGACATAGCCTACAGATAATTACTGGGTCACTCGGTATTTGCTGGGAGCCAAGGTCGAAAGGGACTGAACACTTCACACAGTAACAAGACTAGCAAGTCGGCAGTACTCCAACAGAGTACACGTATGTTATTATCGTTTTAACTTAGTCGCCTATTGTAACAAAGCTTATCAGCAAATAAGCGAGACTATCGAGGAAACCGTCTGCCTTCCACGTCTTTGGCTCAGTGTCCTGTTACTTGGTGTCTTATGCCAGCGTTTGTTAGGGTCCCCCATAGTTCGTCGTTGGTTGGTATAGAGTTTTTGGCCGGTGGAGAAGCTGGCGGACGGGCCTAGTCTGTGTACCTGAGGTGGCACGGTCAGTGTATTTCTTTTGTTTGGGCGTTCAGTCCGATAAGCTCCTCGGCGCAGTCAGCATTATACTATCGCAAAAGAGACTCGCTCCTTTGCCTTCCCTTTGAAAATTCCACCGGCCAAAAACTACTGCGCCGACTATAGTTGTAACGAAGAATTTAGAACGGAATTCTTGCGCGGACCATTCGAGGAAATAGTTTTCTCCAGTAAGCTCTGCAACTTGTTATTTCGTCCATCACTGGTTGTGTATTTAATTCCTTCATTAAACCTGAATTTGTTTTCTTGTCGAAACGATTATCTCCTGACGATCTCCTCATTAATTTTATTTCTGCAGCCTTCACTCAACATGGCTCAGGCCAAAGTGTTGTAAACTCTGATTTTTGTATGTTTCTGAAGAAAGTTGGGCTTGAATACTTGGTTTATACGTCCTCTTCATCGAAAATGATTAAAACAAAAAGTTAACGAAGGTAATTAAGTCTATAGTCTGTTTATCCCACATACGAGTACCTAGCTTCGATAAAATCAAATTTGAGTTGATTTGCATGTACAGTAAAGTATATCAAAACAAACCAAAAATGAATTTACAAAATAAATAAAAGGAATAAAAAAAATTACATCGCAGAACTGAGCATTCAAATATGAACTTTTCATTCTGATTGGGTGAAACTTTTGATAGAGACTCTCTCTGTAGTTCCAGATACAAAATACGAGGAGAGTAACAATTTCTCAACCGTGCTTTAGCTTTGTCGGTATTCACAAGGGCAAATATCGTTTTAAAACTATACAAAAGAAGTATTTCAAATATTTCGTCCCCCCACGCCCCAATAATAAAGCCAGCCGTTGTCAGTGGTTACAAAAATAATAGCTTTTTAATCTGTGGACTAAACAAATTAAACGCGAATTCAATTTGTGGTTGAAAAATCTGATTAATGATCGACAGGGAAAAATATAGACGCCATTAACTATTACACAGAATTATTTTTCTCTCCTAATATCCTATACGATTTTATCACGGAAAACAGGTGATTCCTAAAAAAATTTCTGACTTATTTTGTGAGAATTACACAACTATTTTTGTGATCCACTTTCAGACGCAACATTTTGAATAACATGTTAAAACTCTTGTGTGTAAGAAATCCTGTTCTGAACATATCAAAATAAAAATTTACCCTTTCCCTGCTATGAACGAGAATTACCGCTAAGAATAATCCAGATATCCTACTTCTGTTCCGTGTTATTTTATAACACGCTGTGACAACAAATGATTCTGTCCTCTGCAATAATGCTAGCACAGACTGTACTGGGCTGACCTTGATCTTGAACAGAACATCTGATTTTGCAGTTTTTAAACAAACAACAAACCAATTACAGTCTTAAATAGATTCTTAATGAACGCTTCAAGTATTCTGAGACATATACAGACGTAGATTACTACATTTATATCTTAAAATGGCTGTATTTCACAAAGGTGTTTTCTAATGCTACATCTGACGTGTTTCTGCATAATTATGAACTTAAATACCACACACACAACCCAACCTCCATCTCCGAGTAAGTTAAGAAACTGTAAGTGAAGACCTTACTTACCGTGATCTGTCAGAGAAGAACTCAAATTTGGATTTCTTCTTGCCACCGTTTCCAGACCCACTGTGGATGGGAGAAACACTTGGCTCGCTGGATCCTGATGCAGGTGGGGAAGAGGACCCAGTGGAAGATGACAGTGACCCAGTGCGACCCCTGACCTCGCCGGCAGCAGAAATCAGCTGAGCTTCCGTCCCGGCTTTGACCCCGCTGTTCTGCTGCACCTGGACGTTGTTACTGTTCGGATGATATGCAGGGTGGGCTGACAGCGCCAATGTCGGTCTCGTATTCTGTCGGTTACGTCGTTTCTTCTTCTTATTAGCGTCTGCATTATCATCTGCACGGCCCCCACAGCCAATGTTTGAAGGGGGAGGTGGCATCCAATCTAAATCTTTCTTCAAATGACCACGACCGCACAGACAACCGCAAGCTTTGAACGCCAAATCGTAGCCCTTTTTGGTCCACAAATTCTGATGACGTTGTCTTTCGGACCAAGATCTTGCTCGGCCACATGATTTCAGATAGGTTAAGACCGTCTGCTCCCAAGCATCAAAACATTCCCTGTGCATGTACTGCCCAACGTTACAGTGGTCGTTGTTGCAGGTAACCTTGACTGCGTCTCTCAGATCATCCAGGTTGATCATGTCTGCGTTTGTGTTGTTACTGCTGTTACCAGCTCCGAGGTTGCCGTTGTTGGCCCGCAGACACTCACCAGTTGGAACACAACAGCGCGTAACGTTGGCATCGTAATTCTCGATTGTTTCGGGATCGATACCGAAACCTTGAACTTCATTCCCGTTTCCCCCGGCTCCAGCTGTTCCAGCGGCGCCACCATGACCCCCGTGGCCTCCGCCATGACCGCCGTGATGGTTTCGTCGCGGTGCCATATCAACAGATTCTTCTTCAAAAGTAATACACCAACAATCAAAACAGTACCTAACTACCACTTCAATTTGTTAACATCACTAAGAAAATATTTTGCAATGAAAAACAGTGTATTGTCAGAAAGGTCTGTTTTCAGTTTTTTCAACGCTTTTAACGACTGAGCAACTGTTTTTAACAACAAAGTTCCTTCTGTATATATCTTGAGTCCGTTTCTTATTGCTTGAAATATTCAACAGAAAACCAGTGAAACGTTATACACTCGTTTACCTCTGGAATGGTTCATTTACATCAATGAAATAGCATTAATACGTAAGATTTATCGTAAAGAGACTTTGAAAGTGTTCAACACTTGTCTTCACATATGGTATACTTCACAGGCGGCATGCAAAGTCAAACTCTCACCAATAAAGCTTCAAAACTACCTGCCGAACAAAACAACCTTGACTTTCATTCACAGATAGTTCACAATCATACAATAGCGGTATAATAAATTGCCATCAAATGTTTCTTACCACATAGTTACGTAACAAAAAACGACGCAGATAACTGTGACACTTGACAACTCACGGACAAAAAAGTTTTTTTGTCTTTCACAACGTAAAAAAATCTATCATTGTCTTGATCCTAGTTTCAGCCATTTTCCATTAGCTAAAAAACGAAAGGAACGTAAATGCCTTTCATTCAGTTCGTATTAACAATATAACTGTTCTGTAATTCTATAGTAAACATCCACCACAACGAAACTTAGAAATAACAGTGACTACTTTCATGAGATTCTGCTCTCGAACTCTTCCGTCAGCCGGCTTCTAACCTACAAGCAACTAGCGTGCCAGCTTCCCGGCATAACACTTCCACAAGCTGCGCGCGCAACAGAGAGGCCTGCACGAACTACGAACTGCTATTGGTCCTGTTTGAAGGTGGGGAGAAACATGACAATAACAAACGCGTCACGTGCTTAACCTAGAAAATTACTGGCCCTAAAACTTCCCTTTCAATTTCAATAGCATCAACAACTGCAGTAAAAGTCATCGTAGGGTAATCTATATTTAAACGTGATTCACTGAAGTGAGTGAAAATGTGTTCGCGGAATCGTACATTTCTTTAATTATATTGTCGTTAATTCAAATCTAAATAATGAACTAGCGTTTTGTATTACGGCCCTAAAATAAAAACTGACACGCAAGAAATGAATTCGTGCGCATATCCCCACTCCTCTTCCTTTAAAACCAATCAGAAGAGCGACCCTGAAAGGGTTCTACGTTCTTGTTCTCTCCCTGCAACCAAGTCCAGTCCCTGAAACAGGTTACGAATGTGGCGTTTCCATCTCAATTTCTAAATGTGTATATCTAATATGCTCCTGTGCTTAATCAAACACCAAACCATAAAGAAGGCTGTGGAGGTACCGGTCTAGTTGTGGTGGCCTTCTATACAAAAGGTACCGGGCTTCTTTCCTGTTCCTCGGGGGTGATGAAGGCGAAGCGTGAAGCTGGCCACTTATCTCCATCTAGTTCCGAGGTTAGAATGCTTGCGATTTTATCTACACTCCCCGTCTTCGTCTGCATAGCACTGAGCTACCTACATTGTCAAGGATTTGACTTTACCTTAACTATGTGTAGGCCCTACCAAGAGGACAATATGGGAGATTTCTGACATATTTCATATGATCGAATCAGGTATTTTTATTTGCAAATATTCGGTATTGATGACTATACTATGTAAGTACGTATATTGTATGACGAAGGTAAAGGTGTTTAGGTGTGCCTGGAACAGGATCAATTAAGCTTTTCAACTATTCTTATAACTTTATGAATTTAGTATCATTTTCAATTTGTCATCTCTCTTCAAGTTTCCAGGAAGCCTGATGATTCGGCAACTTCTCCGCCAAGCTGTTCAGGCGGGTGAGCCTAAGTAATTCACGCAGGCGTTTTCTCAGTTATAGAATGGCATTTTTAATAACAGAAAGTTTCTGTGCGGAAGCAGGAACTGAAAAATATTTTAAACCATGTGTCCATGTTAAAGAGTAGGGCTGATGCATAATTATCGTAATTGTAAACGTCAGGCTTATAGACATGTCATTTCACACGTACTCTGAAAGATGGAAGCCATAAATTCCTGTAAAAAAATGGTAGCCACCGACAAGGTTACTTGGTGTCGCAACCCAGCGGTGAAGAGTGCAAAATATGGAGTTCCTCTTCTCGTCTCTCTTATAATCATTGTAGGTTTTAGCTACATGATAAGGACAAACCGATGACTTTCGTGTTTTGGCTGCATTTCAAAAACGCCTAATTTTTCGTCACTTTAGTCGGTCTGTTCGCAAGTAACAGCATCCAAATTACAGGACTGATTTTGACAAAACTCGGTACGATATTCAATTTTGCCATTGGCTTTACTGGTTCTTCTTAAGAATTGCTTAACCTAACGGAATAACCGGGATTCAAACCCACCGCTACAAGAACCTGAACGTTCAGTGAAGACACGTGACAAAACACGAACCTTAAGAAAGGGATGCCCATTCCGCAGGCGGCCGTGTTATTTTTTGAGGTCCAAGCACTTTTCTCTAATAGCTACTGTATGATAAACGGCGTATCCGAAAGAACGCTTGGATGCTGTGGTCCAGTGGTCCCCAACGCGTTGCCCGCCAAGATCTCATAAACTCACAAATGTGCCCGTAGGCACAAAAAGGTTGGAGACCACTGATTCACAAAATATAATTTCGAAATTTCAGCGAAACGAGTATCACGTAATTTAATCTAATCCAACACATACTGAACTGACCTGCCCTAAACTAACCTAACATAAACTAACATTCAATTGAATAAAAATTTACTTGGATATTATCCATCGTCTAGTAAATATAAAATGTAAAAACGTAAAAACGTAAAACGACGTTTCGGAAATGGGACTCTATCTCCGTCTTCAGGTTCCTACACAGTTGGGCCCACTAGATAGAGCTAATCCCTATCTCCGAAACGTCGTTTCACGTTTTTACGTTTTATATTTACTAGACGATGGATAATATCCAAGTAAATTTTTATTCAATTGACTCTTCACCATCGTCAAGAAGTTTTAGATTTGATAAACTAACATTACTTAACCAAAAGCAAAATAACCTAATTGAATAAAAATTTCCGTGGATATTATCCATCGTCTAGTAAATATAAAACGTGCACACATGGCACTACTTGCCAATCCTATCAGCCAGCCTAGTTTGGATTTATCTCCTATTTGGATTCCTGTCATCTCTGAAGAAGTCCAAGTTGTGCATCGAGTTTCGAATTAATGTTCATGTGTATTTATTCCCAATTTTTGTGAGTTTCTGTTTTTTTGGCTTTATCGTGTTTAATGAATTTTATTTCTCCTATTTATTCTTTCACGTCCCACGGATGGATGGTGTGGTGATGTCTTTTTAATCCGGGACTTTCACTTTTTTATTTTGTCCGGAGATAAGGATTAGCTCTATCTAGTGGGCCCAACTGTGTAGGAACCTGAAGACGGAAATAGAGTCCCATCTCCGAAACGTAGTTTTACGTTTTATATTTACTAGACGATGGATAATATCCCAGGAAAGTTTTATTCAATTGACTCTTCACCATCGTCATGAAGTTTTAGATTTGATATAAAATAACCTAGCTTGAATCAACCTAAACCAAACTAACATAACCTCACACAACCTAACCTAACCTAACCGAAACAATGCTAACTTAACCTAACGCAACCTAACTTAATCCAACGTAATATAACCTAAATCACGGCGCCACATCAACGTCAGAAACATTACTGAAGGCCTTGCAACATGAATGGTCAGGACGTTAGTAAATCGACAAGCGTCGCGACGCCGAACATCACGATGACCTTGAGAGACGCCAAATGTACCGCGGATATGTCTTTTGATAAAACTGGAGAAATACCAGAGAACCGATTGTGAGCGTGGCGACGCCCGAAATCTCACCGCCACCACAAGCACGCAGAAAAGTTACTCAGACCTTCAAAATACGATTAACGGCGAAAATAGACGCCCGGCGTCGCGACGCCAGCAAGTAAACGAAAATTTACAGCACAGAAGATTCAAAATAAACCCTGAACACTAAAATTGAAAAACGACGCCATTCGTGGCGACACCTATAGTATCGTCATCAGCAGACGGTAGAAAAAGGCATACATATTTGCTAAAACGTTGGGCAAAATACTCGAAATTCGACGCCAAAGTTAGCTACGATTTGGAAGGACGAAATTCTATCAAAAAAGGCGCCACATTCTAACCTGAACCAACCAAACATAAACTTACCTTACGTAACCAAACCCAACCTAACTAAACCTAACCCAACCATACCTAAACAAACTTAACATAACAAAACCAAAATTAACCTCACCTAACCTAACCTAACTCAACCTAACCTAACCTAACCTAACCTAACCTAACCTAACCTAGCCTTGCCCAACCTAACCCAAACTAACCTAACCTTCATCACGGTTCCAAACCAACATCAGAAAGATGGCTGTAAATCTAGCAACATTGGTCAGGAAGATAGTGAATCGACGCGAAGCGTCGCGACGCCGAACATCACGATGATCTCGACAGACGCAAAATGTACCGCGAATATATATCCTGATCAAACTGGAGACATACCAGAAACCGACGTCGAGCGTCGCGACGCCCGCCATCTCGACGCCAACACAAGTACGCAGGAAAGTTACTCAGACCGATAGAATAATTTTCGTATAGACTTTAGCAAAAAGAAGCCCGGCGTCGCGACGCCTCACATCGCGACGCCTTCAAATAACCGAAAATTTTTAGTACAGAATTTCAAAAATGACCTTGAACACTAATGTTGAAAACCGACGCCATTCTAGGCAACGCCTATAGTGTCGTCATCAACAGACGCCAGTAAAAGGCATACATCTTTGGTACAACCTTCGGAACAATACTCAAAAAACGACGCCAAAGTTAGCGACTCTATTGAAGGACGAAATCTTACCAAAGACGGCGCATCAACCTAACCTTAACCAACCTTACATAACCTAACCCAACGTAACTCAACCTAACCTAACCTAACCTATCATAACCTAACCGAACCTAACCTAACCTAACTTCACCCAAACTAACCTAACATTAATCACTGCGCCATACAAACATCAGAAAAATGGCTGTAAATCTTGCAACATCACTGGTCAGGAAGTTAGTGAATCGACGCGAAGCGTCGCGACGCCGAACATCACGATGCCCTTGAGAGACGCCAAATGTACCGCGAATATATATCCTGATCAAACTGGAGACATACCAGAAAACGACGCCGAGCGTCGCGACGCCCGCCGTCTCGACGCAATCACAAGTACGAAGGAAAGTTACCCTGACGGATAGAATAACTTTCGGAGATACTTTATAAAATCGACGCCCGGCGTCGCGACGCCTACAATCGCGACGCCCGCAAATAACGGGAAATTTATAGTACAGAATTTCAAAAATGACAATGAACACTAATGTTGGAAACCGACGCCATTCGTCGCGACGCCTATAGTGTCGTCTTCAACAGACGCCAGAAAAAGGCGTACATCTTTGGTACAACGTTCGGAACAATACTCGAAAATTGACGTCAAAGTTAGCGACGCTATTGAAGGACGAAATCTTACCAAAGACGCGCAACAACCTAACCTGAACCAACCTTACATAACCTAACCTAACCTATATAACATAACATAACCTAACCTAACCTAACCCAAATAACCTAACCTAACCTAACACAACCTAACCCAACCCAACCTAACCTAACAAAACCCAAAATAACCTAACCTAACGTAACCTAACAAAACCAAACCTAAAATAACGTA